GTCATGATGCCGGGGTCCTGGGATCGAGCCCTGCATCGGGCTCCCTGCTCAGTCTGCTTCTCCCTCTCCCTCTCCCCATGCTCAGCCTGCTGCTCCCCCTACTTGTGCTCTCTATCCAATAAATAAATAAAATCTTAAAAAAAAAAAAAAAAGAAAGAAACCACAGAGTCTAAAAGGTGGTGGGATTGCCTATTTAAAGCGCTGGCAGAAAAAAAAAACCTGTCAATGTCAACCAAGAATTTGATATCTGGCAAATCTAGGTTTCCAAATGGGAAGAGAAATTAAGACATCCCCAGATAGACAAAAGCTGGGAGAATCTGTTGCTAGTAGACCTGCTTTACAGGAAATGCTACAGTTAGTCTCGCCGGCTACAAGGAAAGGATCCTAAGCATTAAATGGAAGTCATACAAAGAAATAAAGAACAGTAGTAAAGTAACAATACAAGTAACTATAAAGCTACTTGTAACATACTTCTGGTTTGTAATGTCTCTACCTCCCCCATATGACTTAAAATGCAAATGCATAAAACAATACTTATAAATCTACGTTAATGGAAATAATATATAGAAATGTAATTTGTCACAGTAACTACAAAAGTGGGGAGAGAGCTGTATAGGAGCAAAGCTTCTGTATACTACTGAGGCTATGTTGGTATTCATTCTAACTAGATCGTTCAAGTTTAAAATGTTCATTGTAGTCCCAGGGCAGATGCTTAGAAAATAACCTTAAAAATGAGAAAGCAATCAAAATGGTACCTGCAAAAAATCAATTATAAACAAGAGAAGGCAGTATTGGAGGAATTGAGGAACAAAAAGATATAAGATATACAGGGAACCATGATAAAAAGGCAGAAGGCCTTCCTTATCAGTACTGACTTTGTTTTTGTGGGTTTTTTTTTCAGTACTGACTTTAAATGTAAATGTATTAAACTCTCCAAAGGCAGAGATTAGTAGAATGGGCTTAAAAAACAAACCATGATCGGGGCGCCTGGGTGGCTCAGTCGGTTAAGCTGCTGCCTTCAGCTCAGGTCATGATCCCTGGGTCCTGGGGTCGAGCCCTACGTCCAGCTCCCTGCTCAGTGGAGAGCCTGCTTCTCCCTCTCTCTCTACCTGCCTCTCTGCCTACTTGTGCTTTCTCTCTGTGTCAAATAAATAAATAAAATCTTAAACAAACAAACCATGATCCTTCCATAATCTGTCTACAAGACTCTCATTTTAGACACAAAGACATAAATAGGTTTAAAGTGAAAGGATGGAAAAGATATTCCATGCAAACTGTAATCAAGAGACCTGAGGTGGCTATGCTAATATTAGACAAAATAGACTTTATTCAAAACATGTTACAAGAGGCAAAGAATGACATTACATATTGATAAAAGAGTCAATTTATCAAGAATTAAATATAACGATTATAGGCATATGCACACCTTACAAGAGAGTCCCAAAATATATGAAGCAATATTTGACAAAATCAAAGGGAGAAATAGTTTTACAACATCAAAAATTTCACTTCTCACCTTCAGTAACAGATAGAACACCCAGACAAATCAATAAGGAAACTGAGGATTTGAACAACACTATAAGTCAACTTGACGTAACATATATTCCATCCCAATTTTCATGTGCACATGGACTATTCTCAGGATAGACTATATGTTAGGTCACAAGTCTGTAGCACACTTTTTATCAGTTTTTTTTGTTGTTAAGTTGTAGGAGTTCCTTATATATTTTGGATGTTAACCCCTTATCAGATATATGGTTCACAAATATTTTCTCTCATACCATAGGTTGCCCTTTAACTCTGTTGTTTCCCTTGCTGTGCAGAAACTTTTTAGTTTGATATAGTCCCACTTGTCTATTTTGGCTTTTGTGCCCTGTGCTTTTAGTGTAATATTTATGAAATCATTGCCAAGACCAATGTTATGAAGCTTTCTCAATATATTTTCTTCTAGGAATTTTATTTTTAAGTCTTAAGTCCATTTTGAGTTGATTGTTGTGTAAGGTGTAAGATAAGGGTCTAATTTAATTATTTTGCATGTGGATATCCAGTTTTGCCAATACCACTTGTTGAAGAGACTATTACTTCCCCATAGTGAATTTATGGCACCCTCATCAAAAATCAGTTGACCATATATACATGGATTTATTTCCAGGCTTTCTATTCTGTTCCACTGGTCTATGTGTCTACTTTTATATCTGTACCATACCATTTTGATTACTGTAGCTTTGTAATATATTTTGAAATAAGGAAGAATTATGCCTCCAACTTTGTCCTTTTTTCTCAAGATTGACTTCGCTATTCATTGCCTTTTGTGGTCCCATATGAATTTCAGGATTGGTTTCTTCTATTTCTAGTTTTTAAAAAGTCAGTGGGATTTTGATAGGATTGCACTGCATCTGTAGATTGCTTTGGGAAATATGGACATTTGAACAATATTAAGTCTTCTGATCTATGAACATGGGGTGTCTTTCCATTTGTTTGGATTTTTAATTTCTTTCATCAGTGTTTTGTAGACAATGGGCTAAGAACTTGAACAGACATTTCTCCGAAAAAGACATAAAAATGGAACAACAGATATATGAAAAAATGCTCAAAATTACTAATCAGAGAAATGTAAATCAAAACCATAATGAGATAACCACATCACACCTGTCGGGATGGCTTTTTAAAAAAAAAAAGACAATGAGGGTTGGCAAAGATGTAAAGAAATCTGAACCTTTGTATACTGTTGGTGGGAATGCAAAATAGTGCAGTCGTTATGGAAAATAGTATGGAGGTTTCTCAAAAAATTAAAAATAGAATTACCATATGATCTAATAATCCCATTTCTGAGTATTTATCCACAATTACTGAAGTCAGGGTCTCGAAGAGGTACTAGCACTCCCATGTACACGGAAGCACTATTCACAACAGCCAAGATGTGGAAACAACCTAAATGTCCATTGACAGATGAATAAAGAAAATGTGGTATATACATGCAATGGAGTATTATTCAGCATTAAAAAGAAGGATGCTCATTTCAGCAGTACATGTACAAAAACTGGCCCTTCACAGAGAAGATGGGTGTGGCCCCTGCACAAGGATGGCATGCAAATTTGTGAACTGTTCCATATTTTTTAAAGAAACGCCACACAAAAAAGGAAATCCTGCAAAATGCGACAATATGGATGAACCTTGAGGACATTCTGCTAAATGAAATAAGGCAGTCACAGAAAGACAAATATATGAGGTATCTAAAATAGTCAAATTCATAGAGTCAGAGTAAAATGGTGGTTGGCTGAGGCTGGGGGACGGGGGAAACGGGGAGTATGCTAATCAATGAGCATAAAGTTTCAGTTAAGCAAGATGAGTAAGTTCTAGAGATCCACTGTACAACATTGTACATATATTCAACAACATTGTATTGTACACTTCACAATTCACAATTTTTAAGAGGGTAGATCTCGTATTCAGCATTTTACAAAAATTAAATTTAACTTAATTTGGGGCACCTGGGTGGCTCAGTCATTAAACGTCTGCCTTCGGCTCAGGTCATGATCCCAGGGTCCTGGGATGGAGCCCCACATTTGGGCTCCCTGCTCGGCAGGAAGCCTGCTTCTCCCTCTCCCTCTGTCTGCTGCTCCCCTTACTTGTGCTCTCTCTCTCTCTGTCAAATAAATAAATAAAATCTTTAAATAAATTTAACTTAATTTAAAAGCCCCCCCAAAAAAAGTCCCAATAAATTTTAACTGACTGAAATCACACAAAATATCTTCTCTGACCACAACAGAATGGAGCTGTAAGTCAAAACCAGAAGGAAAACTGGAAAATTAACAAATATGTGGAAATTAAACAACACACTCTTAAGAAGAGTCAAAGAAGAAACCAGAAAGGAAATGAAATGTATGAAATTAAATCACAACATAATGAAACTTATGAGATGTAGCAAAGGTGGTGCTCAGAAAGAACTTGAGAGGTGTAAATATATACATTAAAAAAGAAGAAATATCTTGGGGCGCCTGGGTGGCTCAGTCGTTAAGCGTCTGCCTTTGGCTCAGGTCATGATCCCAGGGTCCTGGGATCGAGCCCCGCATTGGGCTCCCTGCTCCGCGGGAAGCCTGCTTCTCCCTTCCCCACTCCCCCTGCTTGTGTTCCCTCTCTCACTGTGTCTCTCTCTGTCAAATAAATAAAATCTTTAAAAAAAAAAAAAAAAAGAAGAAATATCTCAAATCAGTAACCTGACATTACACTTTAAGAAACCAAAAAAAAAAGATCTAACTAAATACAAAGCTAGTAAAATGAAAGAAATAATAAAGATTAGAGTGGAGATAAAGAAAAGAGAGAACAGAAAAATACTACAGTGGGGCGCCTGGGTGGTTCAGTTGGTTAAGCGACTGCCTTCAGCTCAGGTCATGATCCCAGGGTCCTGGGATCGAGTCCCACATCGGGCTCCTGGCTCAGCAGAAAGCCTGCTTCTCCCTCTCCCACTCCCCCTGCTTGTGTTCCTGCTCTCGCTGTCTCTGTCTCTGTCAAATAAATAAATAAAATCTTTAAAAAAAAAAAAATACTACAGTGAATCAACAAAACAAAAAGGTAGCTCTTTGAAAAGACCAACAAAGTTGACATTTAGCCAAAGTAAGAAAAAAAGGGGAAAGACTCAAATCACTAAAATCAGAAATGAAAGTGGTGACCTTACTACATAAATATAAAGGATTATAAGCAAATACTAAGAATAACTGAACACCGGGGCGCCTGGGTGGCTCAGTCCTTAAGCGTCTGCCTTCGGCTCAGGTCATGATCCCAGGGTCCTGGGATCAAGCCCCGCATCGGGCTCCCTGCTCTGTGGGAAGCCTGCTTGTCCCTCTCCCACTCCCCCTGCTTGTATTCCCTCTCTTGCTGTGTCTCTCTCTGTCAAATAAATAAAATCTTAAAAAAAAAAAAAAAAAAAGAATAACTGAACACCAACAAATTAGGTAACCCAGATAAAATGGACAACACTGTACTGGAAGTTCTACCCAGAGCAATCAGATAAATGAAGAAACCAAAAAAATCCTCAAATCAGAATGGAAAACTGTAACTATATTCACAGATTTCATGATTTTACAGACAGAAAATCCTAAAGAACTCACACACAAACTACTAAAGCTAATAAAGAGATTCATCAAAGTTGCAGGATAAAAGAGCAACACGCAAAAATCAGTTGTATTTTTTTAAGATTTATTTATTCTAGGGGTGCCTGGGTGGCTCAGTCGGTTAAGCAGCTGACTCTTGGTTTCAGCCCGGGGCCATGATCTTGGGGTCCTGGGACTGGGCCCTGCATCAGGCTCTGAGATTAGCAGGAAGTCTGCTTGGGGATTCTCTCTCTCTCCCTCTCCCTCTGTGCCTACCCCCACTCATACTCTCTCTCTAAAATAAGTAAGTAAACCTTTAAAAATAAATAAATAAAATGGCAATACTACACAAAACAATCTACAAAATTCAATACAATCCCTATCAAACTTCCAATAGCCTTTTTTTTTTTTTAAGATTTTATTTATTTGACAGAGAGAGACACAGCGAGAGAGGGAACACAAGCAGGGGGAGTGGGAGAGGGAGAAGCGGGCTTTCCGCGGAGCAGGGAGCCTGATGTGGGGCTCGATCCCAGGACCCTGGGACCATGACCTGAGCCGAAGACAGAAGCTTAACGACTGAGCCACCCAGGCGCCCCTTCCAATAGCCTTTTATGCAGAAACAGAAAAGCCAACCCCAAAATTGAGATGAAATTGCAAGACAAGTCGAATAGCCAAAACCTTGAAAAAGAGGAACAATGTTGGAGGCCTCCTACTTTCTGATTTCAAAATTTATTATAATCAAAACAGTGTGGTACTGGCATAAGGATCTATACAGAGAAATTGAATAGAATTGTGAGTCCAGAAATAAGCCTATACATCTAGTCAGCTCATTTTTGACAAAAGTGCAAGATGATTCAGTGAAGAAAAACAGGCTCTTTACAAAATGATGCTGAGAGGGCGCCTGGGTGGCTCAGTTGGTTGAGCAACTGCCTTCGGCTCAGGTCATGATCCTGGAGTCCCAGGATCGAGTCCCGCATCGGGCTCCCTGCTCGGCAGGGAGTCTGCTTCTCCCTCTGACCCTTCCCCTCTCATGCTCTCTGTCTCCCATTCTCTCTCTCAGATAAATAAATAAAATCTTTAAAAAAAAAAAATGATGCTGAGACAAGTGGCTAGTCACATGCGAAAGTATGAAGCTGAACCCCCTACCTTACAATATATACAAAAATTAATTCAAAATGGACCAAAGACCTAAATGTTCAAAGAGCTAAAACTTTAAAATTCTGAGGAAAACAAAGGTCAAATCTTCATGACTTTGGATTTGGCAGTGATTTTTTTAGATATGACACCAAAAGTACAATCAACTAAAGGAAAAATAAATAACTTGGACTTCAGTAAAAGTAAAAACTTTCGTGCATCAAGAAAGAGATGCATTTCTCCAGAATGGGAGAAAATATTTGCATATCATATATGTAATAAGAGCCCATTATTCAGAATATATGAAGAACTATTACTATTCAACTACAAAAAGACAAACCACCCAATTAAAAAATGGGCAAAGGGCTCAAATAGACATTTGTTCAAAGAATATATACATACGGCCAATAAGCACATGAAAAGATACTCAACATTATTAGTCACTGGGGAAATGCAAGTAAAAACCACAAAACCTCACACCCACTAGTATGGCTATAATTAAAAACGAATGGAAATTAACAAGTCTTGGCAAAGATGTAGAGAAACTGGAATCCTTGTACTTTCTGGTGGGAATGTAAAATGGTACAGCTGCTGTGGAAAACCATGTGGAGGTTCCTCAAAAAGGTAAACATACAATTACCAACTGACCCAGGAATTCTACTCCTAGGTATACTGAAAGAATTGGGTTTTCAATTATTTTGAAAACTATTTCAATTATTTTGAAAACAGGTATCCAAACAAATACTTGCACATGAATTTTCATGCAGCGCTATTCACAAAGTCAAATGATGAAAATAAGCCAAATGTCCTTCAGTGGAAGAATGAATCAACAAAATATGGTATATCTATTCAGTGGAATATAATTCAGCCATAAAAAGGAATGAGGAACTGATACATGGACCTCCAATGCGGATGGACCTCAAAAAAAGTGTACAATTAAAGTGGCATTTAGTACCTTCACCATGTTGTGCATCCATCATACCTACTTTGAAAACATTCTCATTACCCCAAAGGAGACTTCCATCCTCCCCAGCCTCTGGCAACCGCTAATCTATTTTCTATCTCTATGGATTTACCTGTACTGAATATTTCATATAAATGGAACCATACAGTATGTGAGCTTTGGTGCCTGATTTCTTTTACTTAGCATATTATTTTTTGAGGTTCATCCACCTACATGTTGTAGCATGTGTCCATGTGACAATATTTCATTCCTTTTTTGTCTATATAATTATCCACTGCATATACCACATTTTGTTTAAGAAGAAAATTCCAGATGAATTTTAGATCTAAATGCATAAGGTAAAATAATATGACTTGTAAATGAAAACATAGGAAAATATCTTCATGACCTTGGCATAGGTGATAATTTCTGCAGCAAGACTCCAACAAAGCACTAATGATAAAGGAAAATACTGATGAATTGGAAGACATTACAACTGGGAACTTTTCTTCATTAGGGGACATCAAGTGAGTAAAACAGCAACTTGGGGAGTAGCAGAAGGTACCTGCAGTACATGCATCCAACAAAGGGCTCAAATTCAGAATCCAACAGATCAGTAAGAAAAAAGAACCCAGTAGATATACGGGCAAGAGACTTAACAGGCACTTGGCAAAAAAGTACATTCAAATACTCACTAATCACATATTAGACACATAAAAAGGTGCTCATCTTAATTGATCAAGGAAATAGAGATTAAAACCACAATCCTACTACTCATCAGGATGGCTGAAATGAAAGACAGCCAATTTCAAATGTTGACAAGGATAAGGAGCAACTGAAACCCTCACACACTGGTAGTGGGAATGGAGATTGGTACATTTTGAAAATATTTTGGCAGTATCTAAAGAAGGTGAACATATATAAACCCTATGACCCAACCATCCCACTCCTAGGGTGCTAATGGTCTTTTTCTTGATCTGGATGGTGGTTACAAGGATGTTCACTTAGATCACTGAGCTGGACACTTACTACTTGAGCATTTTTCCGTTTGTGTCATGCTTCAATAAGTTTCTTTTAAAGTACATATAAATTGGGGAAAAATGTCCTAAGACCAGGAGACTCTAAGTATCAATGCCTTTCTTTTGATTATTACAAGTATTAAATACTATTGATTAAACAACATAAATATATTATAAATTTGGGTACTTATAAGCAAAAATAAGTATTTATTGAAAATCCCACTCCTGGGGCGCCTGGGTGGCTCAGATGGTTAAGCGTCTGCCTTCGGCTCAGGTCATGATCCCAGGGTCCTGGGATCGAGTCCCGCATCGGGCTCTCTGCTGGGCAGGGAGCCTGCTTCTCCCTCTGCCTCTGCCTCTCTCTCTCTCTCTGATTCTCATGAATAAATAAATAAAAAACATTAAAAAAAAAAAAAGAAAATCCCACTCCTAATGATATAGATGACTTCCTTGAAATTAGTTCATATCATGAATAAATATTAGTTATTTCCAGAATGAGGCCTGGCTCATCACCAATTATATCCCTATTTCTCATTTTAAGAGATGACAGATCAATGGGCATGGACAGAATTTTGTTATAGTGGGGTCACCCCAAATTTTAAAATTTCCTTTAGAGTTATATGGCATAAATCAAGTACTGAGCCACCCCCAATTTCTTCCCAATGATCTAGCAGCTGATCAGTTGATTAATAAGTCCTTCTTCAATTCTGTCTAAAGGAAAACATGGGAAACTATTTGATATGCAGGATTCCCTGCCCAGTCATTCATCATTCAGTTTCCCAGCCAGGACATTTTAATGCCTCTTTGGCTCCTCAGACATGTAGAACTCTGGGGCAATGCACCATGGGAAGACCAGAGCAGGGAAGAGCGGTGAAAGGGTGGTGATAAAGGGGAGGGTGGGGATGGAGGGTTGGGTTTTCCTCACAACGGTTTTAGGAAGAACGTATGGAACTAAGGATTCAGAAATAGATTCCTGTAGGGGCGCCTGGGTGGCTCAGTCGTTTAAGCGTCTGCCTTCGGCTCAGGTCATGGTCCCAGGGTCCTGGGATCGAGCCCCACATCGGGCTCCCTGCTTGGCGGGAAGCCTGCTTCTCCCTCTCCCACTCCCCCTGCTTGTGTTCCCTCTCTCGCTGTGTCTCTGTCAAATAAATAAAATCTTTTTAGAAAAAATAGAAATAGATTCCTGTAAACTATCCATGCCCCCAGTCTCTCTTGGACGGTCCTGACGGACTCCTGCCAGGCACAAGTGAACCTTGGTCACTGAAGGACTCCTCAGAAGTGGCTCCTCAGGGGTGCCTGGGTGGCTCAGTCGGTTAAGTGGCTGCCTTTGGCTCAGGTCATGATCCCGGGGTCCTGGGATTGAGCCCTGCACCCGGCTCCCTGCTCAGCAGGAAGCCTGCTTCTCCCTCTCCCACTCCCCCTGCTTGTGTTCCCTCTCGCTGGATCTCTCTGCCAAATAAATAAATAAAATCTTTACCAAAAAAAAAAAGAGGCTCCTCAGACTGCATCTCCAAGAAGCCTCTCTGGGTCCTGAGCACCCAGGCCGCTGCTGACCTACAGGGGCTGGGGAGCTGCAGGCCACAGCGAGGGTGCAGGGCCTACCTTTCTGCACCAATTGCCAAGTTCACCTCTGGAGCACTGGATGCTTTTTGCCCCCACCCACCTCCAAAATGAGGAAGGAGTTAGGAGCCCTGAGAGAAAGGCCAATTTCCCTGGAGAGCACCAGGCCCCTGTGCTTCCCTATTGCATCATTTTGGGGCTGCTCGATGACCTCTGCCAAGGTCAGTTTTCAGTGAGGACAGCATGCTGGGTAGGCTGAGCTGCAAAAGGCTGGCAGGCGGACAGGAACATCGGAGGAGACACAGCATCAGGAAGGAGAAAAACCAGTTTGCAGAGATGCTTCCGAGGTGTTTCGGTCAGAGCCACTCCCAGAGGCCACCACCAGACCCCAGAGGTCTTGAATGCAGCCAGCGTGGGCCCAAGTCCAGAGAGCTGGAGGAGGGCCAGGCACACTGGCAGTCCCAGAGGCTGAAATAGACAGCAAGATCAGGGAGATGGGATGGAGGCCTCAAAACTCAGGAAACACCGACAGCCTTTATAGCCACACTTCGTTTTTGGTAGTGATTTGCCAGTTATAGGAGAGTAAAGTGCAGCTTAAGTTCACATTTAACCCTAAAGTGGCCAGCCCCACAGGTTCAGGGAGTTTATATTGACATCCAGCCCTGGGCCAGCCGTTGCCAGTTCCTGAGGTTCTAAGACCATCTCTGCACACAAGAGAAAGTACACGAGAGGTGTTCTCAGACAGCGGTTCTCAAAGGGGGAGTGCTGGAGCATCAGCATCACGTGGGAACTTGTCAGAAATGCCCATTTCCTGGCCCTACCCCAGGCCGACGGAGGTAGAAATTCTGGGGGTGAGGCCCAGCCATCGGTGTTTTAACAAAACCTGGGTTTTAAATGCTGTTCTAGGGGCGCCTGGGTGGCTCAGTCGTTAAGCATCTGCCTTTGGCTTGGGTCATGATCCCAGGGTCCTGGGATCGAGCCCCGCATTGGGCTCCCTGCTCGGCAGGAAGCCTGCTTCTCCCTCTCCCGCTCCCCCTGCTTGTGTTCCCTCTCTCACTGTCAAATAAATTTTAAAAATCTTTAAAAAAATAAAATAAAATAAATGCTGTTCTAAGAGGACAGTCAGTATGGAATGAGTTTGGGGAGCAAAAGGAGGAAGTGATGTGACATTAGAAGGAAGGATCTGGACAGGTCAGGAGGCCCTATTGGGGGCTAAAAACAAAGGCTAACCGAAGGCGTATTAACAGCGTGGCTCAGCATCGGGTCTGTGAGCTGGGGCACAGGAAACCCGAGTAGAGGCAGGACATAAAGGATGTGGGAGCTGGGGGCTGCTGGGAGCTTGAGTGAAGAGTGACTCGGTGAGCACGGTGTTGGAGGAAAATTCAGGAATATGTAGCGCAGAAGTAAGGAGGTGGGGTGTTCGGAGAGGCTGCCTCTCAGGGGCCGTGCCCCCCACGCCCAGCTCTTCCCGTGACTCTCCTACAAGTCCCGGACCCCTCTGGGCGGGAGAATGGGTAGAAGGGAGATGGCTTCCTGGTCCTAGTCTATGTACAGGGACAAGATGTACTTTTGGAGGACTGGTACCCCCTGTTAACAGGGCAGCTCTTTTGTAAAGAGCTCAGACGTGGAACCTCCCACCTGAGGGGTTATCTTGAGAGAACAGGGTTTGGAGTCCGCCAAGAACAGAGCAGACCATGGCTCAGAAGGGATTTCCTCACCCTGTGGGCGACAGCCAAGAGGCTGACGAATGACACTTCCCGAGAAGCCACTGCCAGGAGCTGAACGTATCCTGTCTGGAGAGAGAGGCCTGGGGCTGGGGAGACTACTTCAGTCCCTCCCTCTGCCACAAGGCCCTGGGCAGAGAAACCCCGAGCTCCAGTTGCCTCTTCTGTAACATAAGGAGCGAGGTCTCCTCGGCTTCCAAGGGCCCTTCAGTGTCCCGGTGTACTATGAGACTGGAGGGAGTAGGGGATAGAGCCCCAAGCGACCGCAGCAGTCACTGCGGAGGGACCCGAACAGGCTCCTGGGTAGCTGCCGTGCCCCGGTTTGCTGGCAGAGAGAAGGTCAAGACCTGGGTCCTGCACGAATGGGCCTGGACCCAGACGTGCCCCTGTGCCTCGGCCCCAGCAAGTGGTGGCGCTGTGCTCTCTGAGCCGGGGACAGGAGCACCGACACTGGGATAGCAACTCACAGGCCTCACACGGGCCTCAGGCCAGACTTTGTCTCCGCAGTCCCGTCTCTGCCCGTGGGATCTGAACTGGGAGCCTTTGGCCTCTCGGCTCTGCCCCTTGGATGACTCATCAGCCTGCTCGTCCCAACTCCGAGCATTTGTGTGCTGTCTTCCCGTCGCGTCCTCAGAAAGGCAGCGGAGCCGAGGCCTCTTAGCCTTATGCTGGGGAGGTGGCGGGCGATGTAAAGCAGGACATCGCTCTCCTTTATTCCGTTCGGCCATTTCTTTCCCTAGTGCCCGTTGTCTCTCCTTTTTCTGAGACAGTCAGGCCTGACATGATGGTCAGGATGCTTGGGGAACGGGGGGCCCTGGGAAGCTATGTCAGAGGGCTGAAAGGTAAGAATGGGTACTGATAGGTCAGCCAGGAGCCCCAAGTTCGAAATCCTGTCGCACAACTGCAGGGACGAGAATGTCCTTTCTTCCTGGAGCCCTTGCATGCAAAGGGCAGCGGAGTCTGAATTCAGAACCAGAAGTCCTCAATTCTCTTCCTGTCTGCGCCCACTGACATCTAAAGGCCTTCCTGCTGCTTGCCCTAAATAACTGATCTCTACAATAGGCCCCAGGCCCCCTGGTTCTGACCTCTCCTGGGGATGCCAGTGTAGACGAGGACCTCCGAAATGAGCTTTCAGGCTAACAGGTGTGATAACAGGGGTTGGCAGCTTTACGAAAACGGAAGTGACCTTTTGCGGACTCATTTTCAGGAACTCTGCTGACTCTCGTAAGCAGGCAGTAACGGCCGGCTCCCCTGATGGAGTACTTCCTTCAGTTTTCGAGTCAGTCTCCTCTTCCTACATGCTACATGAACGAAGGTCCTTTCAATGATGGTATGACAGCAGCCGTCCAGGGTGGTACCGGACGCAGAGCCATGCAAAGAGAGTGCCCTCTGAAAGAAGTTGAATTTCCCCTTAATTCCAAGAGGACAGTCTCAGATAGTTCTAGAAGGGATGGTGGGGCAGTCAGTCTCCAAGCCTTCAGGATCCTTTCCTTCCGGGTCACTTCCTCCTCTGGGCTGAGCACTTGCATTCTTTGTAGTGGCCATTCTAGACTCCTCTTTCCTCTCCCACTAGTTTGAGGATGGACACATCTAATAGTGCAAATACTGTCCACAAAAAGTCCACCGCTCGCCATCACTTCCCCGCCACACTACAGGTATGTCAAGTTGGGGGCTTGTAGTCTATTTTGGTTGTTACTTGCAAGGGGTATATCTAGCTCAATGGGGGACATTAGCTTATTACTTCACACTGACTAGAGAGAAGTATCTCTAGAAAAGAATGGCATACCAGGCTACCCTTCTGATCACCACAAAGAGGCTTAAAAAAACAGCTGGGAATGATGGAAACACCATTAATTAAGGATACTCAACTTTTCTGCCTAATTAATTTTCTTTTTAAAATAACTAGCTGAGGGGCACCTAGGTGGCTCAGTTGGTTAAGCGACTGCCTTCGGCTCAGGTCATGATCCCAGGGTCCTGGCATCGAGCCCCACATCAGGCTCCCTGCTTGGCGGGAAGCCTGCTTCTCCCTCTCCCACTTCCCCTGCTTGTGTTCCCTCTCACGCTGTCTCTGTGTGTGTGTGTGTCAATTAAATAAATAAATAAAATCTTTAAAAAAAAATTTTTTTTAAATAACTAGCTGAGGGAAGCCTGGGTGGCTCAATCAGTTAAGCGTCTGCCTTCGGCTCAGGTCATGATCCCGGGGTCCTGGGATTGAGTCCCACATTAGGTTCCTTGATTGGCAGGAAGCCGGCTTCTCCCTCTCCCTGCCGCTCCCCCTGCTTGTGCACGCACGCTCTCTCTCTGGCAAATAAATAAATAAAATCTTTAAAAAAAACTAGCTGAAAGATGAAGGAAGAATGTTCCAAATGTTTATGGAACACCTACTGTGGCCCATCAGAGTGAGGCATGCTCACACCTCATTTGATCCTCACAGCAGCCAAGAGGATAGAATTATCATTTCCATTTTACAAACCTGAAAACAGGTGTAGAGGGGTCCCTTGATGGAAAAAATATCTGGAGATATCTATGCCAAAAAAGTGACTGCCATCTCTGGGTGCTTTAGTAACCATGGAGTTTTGTTTCATGTTTAATATGAAACAACATTCCATGTCATTAAAAAAGTTAAATTTTATGAAATAATAAATATATCGAAGCCTTGGCCAACATCTTAAACTAGGATGTGACATAGCTATAAATCCATGTCCTCCAACTTCCCTGCCCTGCCCTTGACATGACATTGCCTTCTCAGGAGATAATCCCTGAGGTCAATGGGGAAGGAAGAGAAAATACCAATATCACAAGACAGTTTCTGGGTGGCTCAGTCGGTTAAGCACGTCTGCCTTCCGCGCAGGTCATGATCCCAGGGTCCTGGGATCGAGCCCCGCATCGGGCTCCCTGCTCAGCAGAAAGCCTGCTTCTCCCTCTCCCGCTCCCCCTGTTTGTGTTCCCTCTCTCGCTGTGTCTCTCTCTGTGTCAAATAAATAAATAAAATCTTAAAAAAAAAAAAAAAAAAGACAGTTTCCATCTGACCTAGTTCTCACCGGGGCCATCCCACTAGGCCACGGGCCTGACTCTGCCCTGACACTTCTGGATGTTCCCTCCTGCTATCCAATGTGCGCTGAGGCCACAAGGCCACGGGGCTCACCTTGCCATTCTCAGTACATCCGTTTACAAAACTTCCAGACTTTCCTGCACAGCATCCCAAGTGTATGGGGTTGTGGCTGAACAGCCATAAAAATGGGCTTCCCTTTAGGCCCTAGAGCAGTGTGGCACCAATTTGAAAACGTCTAGTCCACATGGTGAAAAGTCAAAAAAAAAAAAAAGGCCATTTACCATGGCCCTGGGATTTCTACAGAGAGACAAATCTGTGGCTGAAGGCCCAGACTGCTTCCTTCATCATTTCACTCTATATACCTCAGTGTTGAGAGGATCAGCAGGAGAGACATCAAGTGCTTGCAAGGTCCCTAGGTCTGTGATGGCATTCAGGCCTTCGCTTGCTGCTTGGAACTCTTTGAAAGAAAACACTGTGGTAGCGGGCACTGAGGGGAACAGCCACTGGAATGGGGGCACTTCTCCCAGGGCAAACACTGAATGCTCTCTTCCTGCTGGAGAATAAAGTTCCCTCAGCCCTGGGCTTGGTTGTTCATGTCGATAGAATGATAGCCATAGAAACTCTCTCCAGCTTAGTAATTCTCTCTAAGCTCCCTTCAGAGGACCTGAATACTCTTATTTTCCATCTTTCTT